ACTGTCACGTGATCTGAGAATAGGTCCATTAAAATATCCGATTAATATTGGATATCAAGTATTAGGGTTAGGGTTAGAGCTGAGATCAAAGTTGTATATAAAATTGTCTTCCCGACATTTTTTGATAGTGTGCCAAGCTAGATTTTGATATCTGTTTTTTGTATTTTTCGCATTTTTTGTCTTTTTTCATTTTCTTGTGCCGAGTTTGTTTTGCCGGGTTGATCAAAAATTTGCTACATTCCTATTGGTTGTGCAGAATTTTTGCGCATTTTTATTGGTTGGATCCAATCAACATCACGTGACTGTCACTTTGTTTTGCCATGGCTAGGGTACTAGGCTAGGGTACTAATAGGTTCGTCTATCGTAAATTTTGAGATCAAATAATAATTTAAAGAAAATTTTCAAGGAATCTAAGCACATGGGAAGAGTCAAACCTCGATCAACCTCCGCTAAATCCACCAAAATCATTAAAACTCGGTGGTTAGAGCCTTCTGAATTGAAAAATCTGGGTATTTTGTCGGTTATGTTTATATATAAGTAAGCCTTTTACTTCCATATTTAACAAGCTATTATGTTTTTAAAGGTGTCGATTATACCAAGGGAAATTATTCGAGACAGGAAGATACACTTTTGATCCAAGCTTTGGAAGACTATAAAATTGCAAGTCTTTTTCATATTGATTTGATAGAGTTTTTCAAAGTTATTTTCATTTACTATATATAATTTTATTAGAAGAATAAACTCCAAGCTCAAGAAATTCATCAACTAATTTATGGGAAAAATGGAAAAAAAGGTATTCACAAAAATTTTTGGAAGGAAATCGGTTAGTGAAGATTACGATTTATATCTTTGTCTTTATTCGATCAATATACACGGTGTATTTATCATTGAAATCTTAGGTTCTGTCTTGCAAACGCGTCCGTTGAAGTCGGTGACCAGCCATGTACAGAGAATGCAACATCCTTACAAGAATGCCGGAAAATGGTTACCAAAAGACGATGCACTTTTGAAAAGGTTTAATTTCAATCTCACGGGATGTTGATTAATTAGTTCATCTTTTCTTGTTCTACTGAAGTTTATATTATTCCAAAAAGTCTATTCAAAAAACATGGCTCTAATTGGAAGAAGATCGGTGATGCAGTGGGGCGAACAGGACTCGCGTGTCGTGATCGATACAGAGATTTTATTGAAAGCGAATCCACAATGACGAAAGGTTTGCTAATTATCGCTTTTGATATTTTTTAGGTTATTTATCGATTAATTTCATTTTTTAAGGGAAATGGAGTGACACGGAAATAAAAAAATTATGTGATATACTTGATGAATTAATTAAAAATGGGGAAGCAACAGATTCAACCGTTCCATGGAATCAAGTATCTGAAAAAATGGGATTTACAAGATCTCAACATCAATGTCGTGAAAAATGGTATTTGCTCTTTCATATAAAATATAAATTTTTTTAAACTTCCTAAAAGTGATCTTTATTATATCCAAGGCAAAGAGATCTATTAATACGTTATAAAAGAGAGGACTTCAACGAATCGCCAAAGTGGACCAAAGAAGACTCATGGACGTTAGTCAAAAAGTAATTATGTTCCTTGGCATTTCAATGTGTGCAGTATGCCGTGTCTCTACATGAAAACCTTTTCTTGAAACTATATTAGAATGTGGGAAGTTGACGTGGAAGATGATGTTGATATTCCTTGGGAAGATTTAGCCAATGACCCAAATTGGGGACCATGGTTGGTGTAATAATACGTAATCCTTATATCCGAAATTTGCTATTCTCATATAGAATATAATTATTTTTAACAGGACTCCGGAATATTTGCGCAGGGTATGGTATGGATGGCGAAGATCGAAACAAGAATATATTGATCTGTCTTTTCCGGGTAAGTTTAGAGCTTTTGTATTCGATTTATCAATATTTTATATATTCAGTACTTTCAACACTTGCTTTAAAGTATTTACAGAAAAGATTTATTTCAAATTTCGGACAAAAAAAGGAGTTTCTGATCAAAGGAAGCAACGAAAAAAAGTAAAAGTAGAGCGAGAGTCGATTTCTGCAGAATTTGTTGAAGATAGTGAGCTTGAAGAGTAGATGAATAGATGATTATGGACAAAACTAAATATAGCTAATTACCAATTTTGGAATTTCCTAACCCATTTGATTTTTAAATCAATTTATTATAAGTTAATTTATTTAACCATACAATAAGCAGTGCCCAATTCTTAAAGATGACATATATATTGATTGGATTTAGTAACTTGTTCCAATAAACATGGAATAAATACATACTTCCAATAAATATTATTAACTTTGAGCCAATAAAATTAGTATAATTTGAAAAAACTCTTATTTTAAAGATCTTAACTCGAACAACAATAGAGCCAGATTCTTGAAAACTATCATAAGTTTGAGTTTTATTATTTTGAAAATTTCTGTTTTTATTGTTTCAAATTTCAGCACTTAAATTTTGGCCAAAATTATGTCCGGCATCTTTAATGTTGGCCAAAATTATCTAATGTTACACATGTTATATATAATTTTCAAAATTCAGCGCGCTCTTTTTTTATGTGACTAGAACTACAAGATCTTGGTATAATTTTATAACACGAGTTGTAAACTTTTAATTTCAGCCAAAAAGTACCAAAATTGGGCCAAATCTAAACAGTTATTATATCTACCCTCAAGTTTACCTTTTACGAATGCTATGGAGTCAAACGAAGAAATTTCGGTTTGGGCCGAGTCTTTAATAACGCCAAACAGTGACCAAAATTCAAAAGTCGAAGGTGTACGAATTCTCACTTTTAATTTCTTTATGCGACCTCCACTCATTCGTAATAATGCAAGCGACTATAAAGAAGCACGTCTCGAATATTTTATACAAAACATTTTGTCAAATTATGACATTATATGTTTGCAAGAGATGTTTCAGTTTGGAAGTAGTAGAAGAAATAGATTATTAGAAGCTGCTTTTAAAAAAGGGTTCAAATTTTCATGGACCTCGCCCGCCAAAAGTATCTTGAGTGGTAGTATTGATGGCGGCTTAGTACTTTTAAGTAAATTTCCTTTACATGAACGCGAAATTACCGTGTATCCGATAGGTTGCTATAGTGATAGGTAAGCTAATTACCATTCTTGGGGAATTGATCAATTCCAGAATTTATTTATCATGAAACATTCAGGAAAAATTATCTACACTAAGGTTTTCAGATAAGGGTGCTCTCTACGCTAAAATTGCCATAACGAATAATGATTGTATCCATCTGTTTACAACACACACCCAAGCATCTTATTCTTCTGCACCACCACCTAACGAGGAATCCGTAATAATTCGACATCAACAGCTTGCACTCCTCCGGAAATTTATTGATAAATGTCTTGATGCCGCTGGTAGAAAACCCGAAGAGCTTGTTCTCTTGGTGGGAGATTTAAATGCGAATGGGCGTCCACAATTAGATCCTCTGAATCCAGCTATCGTTCAAGAAGATAGTGCAGAGTATAAATGTATGACGCGAATTCTGCGTGGTGAAGGAATTGAAGCTAGTCTCGCAAATCCAAAGCTTATCGACTTGGAAGAATTATGCTATGTCGCACCTACAGTGATCAATATAAGAGATATTGCTCGAGAACGCTACGGGCAACATCCGGTCACATTCGGAGATGTGTATGTTGATGATAAAGGATATATTCATCCACGTGAAACAGTCTTGACTTCCACTAAAGATTGGAAGACAACTGCTAGTCTAGATTATGTGTTAATAATCGACGAGAAGGATGATGAGCTAACAGTGTCTAAAAGAACTGTGGAAGTTGATGTTCAGAAAACTAAAATCGAAGAATTTTTCATTTCTACTGAAACATCAAATCATCCATTTACACAACTTTCAGGTAAGCTTTCGTTCTTTGAGAAAAAGATTATGTATGTTTTATATTATACTTTTTTTAATGTATTCTTTTGCTTCTTTAGATCATTATGGCGTGAGCACTGTATTAAAAGTAAAGGATGGAAAATTAACTCCTTACACGGTTTAATGTGTTTATTATGTTTGGATATTTTATATTTATATTGGCGTATTTATTATTTTTTGAATATTATGAATTGGGAGCTTGGATTTTGAAGGAATCTCAGAATATTTCCAAAATAAAGTACAATATTAATTGATGTGATTACTTTGCGAAATCGTTTATTAATAATATTATTCTAATATCACATGAACACAAGTAACTAGAGATTACTTAGCTATGTACAAAAGTAGGACCACGCATTGCGGGTGCATTATAAGGATTCAAAGGATTTGCGATTGGTGGACGTTCAATACCAGGAGGAATTCCTTCCGAGTAAACGCCCGGACGATCGTTTTTGAAGAAGAATTGTAAAGAGAATTGTTTTGAATCTGGATCCCAATGTGTAAAGAATTTGCCCTCACCCTTGTCAACTTCTTTACTCTGGACTTTGAAAGAAATCGTCTCATACGGTTCAGCAGCAAACAACAAATATTGGTGGGCTTTATTTGGTGGCTCTATACGTTGTTCATAGGCAGACATGAAGCGATGTCGAGGTATCACATCTGTCCCAATTTCCGGATACTGAATTTGAAACAACAGTCCAAGTTGTCGAGTGATCGGATCACGGACCTTTGTAACTTTATATCCGGGCCGACCAATCTTGACCATGTTCTTTCGTACTTGTACCTTAGTAGCGGCTTGTAACGCTGGTTGTATATTGTTATTTTCTTTGGCTTCACGAGCTGCACGACGAGCAAGATTAGTTTGGTGCTTTTTGCCTTGTGTGTGCGCCAAATAACTGCCTTCGTTTGTGTGTAGCGTTAGACATAATTTGCATTCATAAGACCCTAAGTGATTTTTCATAAAATATGGATCTTTGTTCAAATCTATAGTTTCTAATGCAAGTTTACGAAGGCGCTCGCGACGATCGACATTAGATTCCGAGTAGCCTGCTACACCTCCACTACCGACCTTTGAACCTTTTGAAAAGAAGAATCAGAAGATTATTATTAGCTTAATAAAAATCGATTTAAACTAATTATACTAACCCACTCTGTTTTGGAAATCCATTGTCTGTCTTGTCTTTTTGAAATTTGAAATGAAAAGAATGAAAAAAACTATTTTATTCCCAGCTTATATATTTCGTTCGACCAATCAAATTGATTCAATCAATATTTTATCACCTGATAAGGGGGTTGGCTAAAGCCTGGTGAACACGTGTAATCCATCCAATAGGAGTGCACAAATTTTTGATCAACCCGGCAAAACAAATCCGACACAAGATATGAAAAATGCGAGAAATGTGAATATTACAAGAAACCCGATGCTTAAACCTGTCTTGGAATACTAATTAAAAATGTTAGGAAGGTGATTTTATATATAACCTTGTCCTCTAATTCTAACCCTTACCCTTACTCTAACCTTATCGGTTGCACGCGGAAAATTTAGAGGAACGGAGTCACATGTCCACCAGGCTTTAGCCAACCCCCTGATCTGATAAGGTAAATGAACTTCGCGTGTTTTTTTGTTTGTAATAATACGAAGGCAAAAGCAGGCAAATTAAAATTTTTGGTGTAGTAAAATGGAGGTAAAAAATCTTTTTATAGAAAAAGTTACGAATTTATCCATTTTATTATACTCCGCAACAACCAAATTAACTATTTTTCATTAATAGAAACAAGAACAAGCGGATTCTCGACCTCTCCAAAATGAAAGATTAAAAACTAAAACATATAAATCTACTGAGATAGTAGATGTTTCATCGGATGATGATTTGATTTTTATGGGAAGTAAAAAAGTAACTTGTGATATCGTAGAAGAAACAGTGTAAGGTTAAAAGGTTTTGCTTAGTTTAAGATCACGTGTCCATATGTTTATGAGCAATTTATTATCCCAAGGCCTGCGAATTCAGCACCAGTTGAACGTAGTGATAACACATCACGCGGAATTATAAAAGAGAGATTGATTGAAGGTAAATTTAGTCTCAAAGTAAGTTTTTATGTTTCAATTGTTTCAATTCTAGAAAGATTGTAATATTTAGGTAGACGATATCATCGCGCACTGAATACCTCGATACATTCTACTGATACTACAAAAACCACATCTTCATCCGACACGTTGGGCTAGTTTATATTTTTGTATTTTCGTTTGATATTCTTCTATGTCACCTGATTTAATTTCTGTATTTTAGAAATATAAATAGAATATCGGCTATTGCTAATAATATTGCGTCGAAGTTGCAAGAGTACAATCAAGGTAAAAATCATGTCATTGAATCCGAACGTGGAATATGAATTTACAGAAAATTATTGTTTTTTGAATATAGATAAAAATGGAGTCATATCATTTCCTTATACATTCTTTTTACAAAATGAAAAGTAAGTAGACAACTACCTTTTTTATTGATCATGTGAGTAGAGAGATAATTTATTATTTTATAGTGCTATCAAGGATACACTGAATTTTGAGCGCGAGTTTGAAAAAAAGAATGATTTATCGGTGGAAAGCTTTAAAGGTATTACTTTCTGATTATTTGTTACATTAACCATTGAAAATTGCTAAACAATATCCGTGTATTTGGCTTGATAGGAAAAATCGCACAGAATGAAACTAGCAGAAATACTACACAGTCCGACTCAATTATTCCTTTCTCCGAATTCAAAGACACGTAAGTTTTTTCATATCGAAAACTTGTCACGATAGTAAGCTTAATTAAGTGCAATCAATTCTTATTGTTTTTTTTTTTTTTTAGCTTGGAAGGTCCAATCAAACTATCTGATTTAATGAACTTTAAGAGTAAAGAAAAATCTGTATTGTCACGGAATTCCAGAAATTCGCAAAATTCATTCGATAATTCGAATGAAGTTACAGGCAGCATTGCCAGAAATTCATTATACAAATTTGGGAAATCAAATATACTCGAAAAATCAGATGAAGGTATTAATTCGAATTTAAAATTGCAAATATTTATTAGACAAGATGTTCAATTTAACTCAAGTAAGCAGTCTAACAATAATAATATCGCTTTAGATGCTCACAGTGATCTCGATGATAGTGATGATGTGTGAGTTGATTTAAATTTCGTTAAATAAAAGAGACTTTTGAAAATGCCGTACTTATTATTGTGTTGTGTTTATTTTAGTTTTGTGACGGTACCTCCAAAGATTAACAAAATACACCCTAATCGTAATACTGCGAAACGTGGTAGACATTTCTCTCGGAAAGAATATTTTTCGAGAGTAACTCGAGGCAGTATTACAAAACACAATAACGTAGCTACTACGAGATCATTGAACAAAGGTAACTGACAATTTTTTAATGCTTAGCTTTAAAAAAAATTGAAGATTAATAATTTTTATAATTTTTGAAAGAACCAATTTTTTTGAATGATTCTGGTAATATAACATCACAAGTTGTTCTTTCTTCCATCTCTAATATGAAGTAAGTCAACCGATGTGTTATCTTTATAAATTATTAATCTGTCATCCCTAATTAATATTTCGGAATCAACTACAGAAAACAAAAAGTGGAACCTGTCGTTGAAATATTCGTCAGGAATCAAAAGAAATTAAAAAAAGGTACATTATTTTTAATTGAAATCTAACTAATATTAAAATTCGTAAATAGAAAAAGGAAATTTTCTAATACATTATAAATCTTCAGATTCTGAGCAGAAATCAAATAGTTTCGAAAATAGCAATCTCACAATCCCGTCCGATGACGATGACATGTAAGAAAGGTTTTTTAAAAATGTTTTATGTACTCTTTCACTTATTTTGCTTTTGATATTAGTGTTATAGAATCTTCAACTACACAACAAAAAACGAATTCAGATAAAACACGTAATCAAAATAATAAAGGTAATTTCTTTTGAACATATGATGACTATAGATTAATTTTAATTAAATATTCAATATGAATTTTCAGAAAAAGCTACTCGAATCGAATTGAGTGGCTCTACCAGTTCGTCAAGAAATTCCAGCGTATCACAGTTTCCAATAAGAAGAACACGATCAAATACAAAAATAATACAATCCACGAGAGCTATCGTAAGCTCCTTTCCCCTCAAGAAAATGAAACGTAAATCCCTCTTTATGAAGCCGACCAACGTGGAGTCTACGGATCTTAGTGACTATTTTAATTTTCCCATAAAGGATGAATTAGCATTTTCACAGTATTGTGAAAAATCCGATATTAATAGATTATCAGGAGACGGATTCAATCATTACTTACCAACACATGACACGAAAACACCGAAGGACCAAAGTATTAATTAATACGAGTGTATTTTTAATTTTTTTGATAATGTTTTATTTACGTAATCTTCTCGTAATAATAATCTTTTCAGGGCTAAAGACAAATCATGGCAAAGATCCTCTTTGGCAAATCTTGGAATCATCATCCGATTCGGAGCAAGATCCATCGAGTTCTGATAGTAACAATAGAAGCAATAATGACACCAGAAAGAAATCATTTAACAAAAAAAACACTCGAGTTACCGAGCCAATTGATTTTCGAAATATGCATCAAGTTATTGTGTTAATTGAAGAAAATCCTAATATATTAAATTTAATCAATTAATTTTTTTGTTTTTGTTTTTAAGCCGGGATTTATTTGGTTTATTAAGCGTGTTCATGTATTATTTATTTAAAATTAGCTTTCATTAAAAATTTGCGAGTTTTTATATTTATTAATATAATTTTCAAGTGTTTTTATTTAGTTTTTATGATTAAGAAAAAATTTACAAGATGTTACATGTATATAGTTGTAGATATTCAGCTAAAGAAAGTAGAAGTAATTATTTTAAATTAAATATGGAAGATCATACTGAAATTGGATCATGCTGAATATCACGTGATATAAGGATCAGATCATGTAAATTACGATCCATTCGGCGCATCTTTAAATTCACGTGATATTTATTCATATATTCATATACAATATTTATTCACATATTTAATAATGAGAAGTAGGACTTGAGTAAAGATGATCTCCTAAATTATTTTTGAAAAAAATGGTATTTCAGCAAATAATTCAATTTTGTTATGTTGCTTATATTAATAAATACTTAAAAATCATCTAGAAATACTTGTTTTGATTTGTAAAATTCAAATAATTTTGAAAAACAATTTCAGTTACTAATAAAATAAGTCAAAATAATTTCAGATTTAATTTCAGCAAGTTAATTTCAGCAAATTATTTAATTAGATGATGTCATTTCAGCAACCATCCTTAAATTGGAGCATCCATTTATACATTTAGCAATGAGAAGTAAGACTGGAGCATCCATCCAAATATTTAGCAATGAGAAGTAGAATTAAAGTATTCATTTACACATTTAGTAGAACTAGGATATTTACATATTGCTATAATATAAATTTTAACATATCACATGATTTTTTATAGTTTATTTTAATTGGATAATTAATTTTCATATGATTTATAAATCATATCTATATTTATTTCATATTATTCATATTTTACTTATATTATTTTATTCTATTTTTATTATATTTTATATTATTTCATTTTTATTTCATACTATTTTATTATATTTTATTATATTTCGTATTATCTACATTTTACTCATACTATTTTTATATTATTTTATTTTATATTAATTATAATTTATACTAATTATATTTAATTTATATTATTATTATTATTATTATAAAAAATACATGTTAATTAATCTACATAACCTAATTTATTTGATATTAATGGTAAAATTTATATAATATTAGAATAAGTAATGTACAATCATCAAGTGAGCAAGTGATATACAATCATCAAGCAAGCAAGTGATGTATAACCATTAAGTGAGTAAGCAAGTACTTTTTTGTAATCATAATATTAATCAAAAGTAGCTTTAAACTTTGAAGATTGAATAACAATAACTTATATAAATATAACATATATCTTAGCTTAAAAAAATAATCTTCTAATTAACTTTTAATCTTTTATCACTTTAATCTTCTTATATCTTTTCATCACTTTAATTTTCTTTTGACAAAATTTTCTTAGAAGTGAGTTGTATTATAAGTCTTGAGTTAGAGTTTTTCAGTTAAGTATTAATTACCTTTTTTTTTCTTATTTGTATTCTTTTATTTTTAAAGATCTTTTATCTATAACAAGTAATATTCTCTATTTAACATAATTAATCTTTTATTACTACTCTGTAAAGTTAGTTAATATTATTTAGAAATTTAATAAAAGAAGAAGATATTTTTATTAAAAGTTAATCAATAAAAGAAGATTACTTAATAATAAATCATTTAAAATTAAAAAAAGATTTTTGAACTCATTCTAGCTGTTTAACAAAATGAACACTTCATTATCTATCTTTAGTAAATTAGTTTCTTCTAACTTTAATATGTAAAAATCTTTAGTCAAATATAATAACTCTTCTATCTGATTAAAATACGTAAAGAATACGTAATCTACATCTAGAAAATTATAAAACCAATGAAAATGATAATAATATTTAACAGTATTACAAAATATATTTATTTTATTGATAATTGATCACTTTTATTATACAGTCAAATCTTTCTATAGTTACACCCATTTATAATTACATCTCTCTATAGTCATTCTATTTTGCTTTTTCATTTATATATAAATATAGTAAAAAAACTTCTTTATAGTTACATTCTCTCTATAGTCACCAAAATTTGCTTTTCTGAGAATGGTGATTATAGAAAGATTTGACTGTATTTAATATTTTTAATAATTTAAATTTATTTAAATTATTTATTTATTATTTTATTTAATTATTTATATTTCTATTGGAAAAATTTGAAATTATATAATTTTTTTATATGTGATTCAAACAAGTAATTTTATATATATAACTTTTTATATAATTTATTATTTATTATTATTTATTAAAACTTTTTATAATTTATTATAATTCATTTAATTTTTTATAATTTTTTATAATTTTTTATAATTTACCTGAATTTATTATAATTGATCAAAATTTACTATAATTGACTAGAAATTATCTAATTTTACTTTTATTTTTCTTTATTATTCATTATTATTCATTATTGTTTATATTTAATTATTATTAACTGTAATTGATTATAATTAATTGTACTTAACTGTAATTAACTATAATTAATTGTTCAATAATTTTGTATAGTATAATTTACAATAAGTTATTAATAAATAATATAGCAAATTCAAAATTCAAAAAAAATCAATAATTATGAATTTAAATAAAAATATGAAAAATGTAATAAAAAATTTTTGATCAAATTAGATAATTATAATATTAATTAAAATTAAAATAATTATCTTAAAAAAATTATAAATATAAATATATTTTCTCAAATAAAATATTTATTATTTGATATCTTAATTCAATAAAAAATTCATATTATAATAAATTGCTTAAGTAATAGCACAATGTAACTTGTATTTTTTAATAATATATTCAGCTTGATTTGAATTTAATCTATTATAATAATATTTCATATAAAACTATATCAAAATATAAGATCAATTTTACTATCATATGACTTTTGACTTATAATCTATATTTTATATGATGCTAAAAATCTATCAAGATTATATTTGTTAATTCTATTAATTTTTCATTATATATTATTTATATAATATTATATATTTTTTCATTTCAAGTTTGTTCTCTTAATAATTATAAAGAAAATATTTTTATTTATTAAAATTTTAAATCAACTTATTACAAATTGATATGATTAAAATTAAACTCTTTTCTTATCTCTTTACAAATAAGGTAATAAATCTCTGTTTTTTTGTAATATTTTCTTAAATAATCTAGTTTCTTTTTTCTCTTACATAATTTAATAGTTCTAATATATAATAGTTACTTAGAATAAAAAATCATAAAAATATATATATATAATCTATGAGTTCTAATAAAGAATTCAAGTTAATATTATTAGTTCTAATTAATATTATAAAGAATTCTATTATATATCAATAAATTTTTAAGTAAAATAAGACTTGTAAAATTCTCTTTTCTCAAAGTACTCAATAATTTTTCATTTAATAAATTAGATTCTTTATTTAAAAAGGCATATAATATAAAAGATTAATATTAGAGATTAATCTTAAAAATTAATGTGTAATTAGAATAGAATAGTTATTTTAAATAATAATAAAATTTTTTGTTACTTATCATTAAACACAAGTATTTATAATATTCACTGATATTAATATAGATATAATTAATTATTAAAATAGTTTATTATTCTTTTGTAATCTGATCTGAAAAAGTCATCTTATGAATCATAATTAATATAATTATTAGAAAAAAGATATTAGAAAAGATAAATTCAAAAAAAGCAAGATAATACAAAAACTTACTGTTAATAATGTCATCTCTAGAACTTGTTGATTTTAAAATTAATATATCAGATCTGCATATAAAAATAATAGATAGGAAAAAAGAAAGACAAATTATATCAATAATGAAAAAATCTATCAATAATACTGATAAATCAAGAAAATATGATTAATATATCAAACAAGAGCTCAAGATACTTGGTGAAGATAGAAAAAAGTTTTTCAATTAAAAAAATTATTATCATTTTGATAATCTTATATTATCACAAAAAAATATGAATAATAAACTTGATTTAAAAAATTATCTACAACTATTAATCATAGAGAATTCAGAAAACAATAACTTAAATATACCAATATTCACAATATTTAAGACTTTTCTACTAGATGTTAATAAATCAGGATTCACAAGTCAATCTGAGAAATATAATATTGAATGACAATCTATAAGAATAGAATAACTATAAAAAGAAGATTAATTTCAAAAATAAAAATAATTATTAATATATATCATAAATATATAAAGAATAAAATAACAAAATTAATAAAAATAGAATTTATATATCTGAGTTAGACAATATATGAACTTTCTAGATAAGTCATTATTTGATCTATAAAATAAATAATAAAGTCAAGATAATTATTAAAGAAAAATAATATTAATATTAAATTGGAAGAAAGAGACTATTACTATTATCATGTATATATATAATCATATAACAATTATATACAAGTTTCACTAAGATAACTAGTTCTTATAGATTTCATATTATAATAATATCTTAATTAAGCAATTTAAGAAAAATAATTAAGTATCAAAAAGATATTAAAATGTATTATTGCAAGTTTCATTGAAATAACTAATTCTTATAAATTTTGTGTTATAATATTTTGATTGAACAATTTAAGAAAAATAATTAAGTAATTTAGAAATATTTAAATATTATTATAATGCATCACTAAGGTAGGCAAGTGTTGATTTAAATAATAATATTAACTATTCTTCAGAATTTAACAAATCTTCTTTATTTTCTTTATAATAAAGTTCACTATTCTTTGAATTCTAATCAGAAACAATCACAAGGTCACATAGTATATCTAATACAAGATAACTATTATATAGTTGTCTTTTAAGTCAACTTTTTAATATATTTTTTAAGATAATTTATATTTCTTTAAATTATTATGTACTTTAAATTATGTATTTTTATTCAATAAAAATTAATCAATATTTTTAACAAATACTT